TAGATTTTCAGTGAAAGCAAATACCTTGACAACATTGACAGTATCACAGCTGACAGAGATTGTTGCAAAGAAATTGTTGAACTATCAATTCTGTTCCATCAAGAAGGGGGCCAGCTTAAGTAACATGAAAATGGGGAGAAAATACTTTCCTTTCGCTTTTCCGTTTGTAATGCCTCACAGTTTCTTTCTTTATACCAAATAAAACGCCGGAAGACAGGGAACATTGAGTTGTTTACAATGACAGACAGGTTTGAATTCAAGCCAACGTTCCTTTCTTTAATTTCGTCGACGCAAGTAGGTCCTCGAAAGATTTATGTGGTATTTTCCACGCAGCCACGCAGTAAACTGGAACATAAAATCATCAATGTTTTCGTCAGAGTAAAGACGAGACTAGATTATAGGCCTTCTTTACCGTTGCGGTAACAACATGGAGGTAGCAGAAATAACTAAATATTCATGATTCTAAGAAAGTATTGCAATTACGCTTGCCAGTTCGAAAGTGAAAGACACGATAACTTGACTTAAATATTAGTAGTTGCTACTTCTAGGCAAATTGTCTTTTCTCAAATAACTGTTTTCCTAGAAACATCGATATAGTGTGATCTTCAGACACGACATGGAACCTCCAGATAAACAAATCGTTATTCGTCATATGAACAGTTGACAATCATTGACAAGCGTCCATTCAGTAGCCCAAATTAAAAACTTTGCGATCGTCGGAAAAGATTCTGTTACCTTTGAAGCGTAGGGATAACAGTTTGATGGAGTGATATCTTCAACTATCGCTTAAAGGGGTTACAAATGTAGAAATATTTTCCAATTTTCTGAATTCAAGCAACTGCTGGTACGTATACGTACATTGTCCTACGTTCTTTAAATTCGAAGAGGTGAATTATAGAATCATCATATCTTTCATGTTATATTTGCATATAAATTTTAACCAATCGGTTCATTTCCTGTGAGGTAAAGTCCCTGTGATCTATAAACGGTAACCACGCATTGCGTCAGTTATTGAGAAGACCGCAGAGGGTAGCAACATAATTAAGAGAAATGGAAATCCCCAAGTCAAGATAATTATGTTTATCGGTATTTAAATCATGCACAGGCGGTGCGCATGATTCTATTGTCAGGTAGTATAAAGGCTGATGAAGAAATATAAATAGAAAAGCGCTCATCTTTTTAGAAATGCATTGTAGTGTCTTCCAATTTTCTGGATTCAACATTCTGCAACTTCGGGATATTTTCTTAATTTCAGTCTTTGAGGAGCTTTAAAAAATTAAAAAAATTTTGTAGACATTTAAAAGTGTAAAGTAAATTTTGCAATTTTCTGACGATGGATTCAGAAGAAATGGCGTGATTTTGAATACATTCAGTACAGCCTCTCTGGATTGCACGATTCCATGGACGTCTTATTGAATAACTGCTTAACAATGAAACTCTTACCAGTCGACAGTTTATGTCAGTTGTGCTAGGAAATTGAATGGCGTGATGTTGATTTTAATCGGCCAATCTCTATTCACTACAACAGGTTTCGCTACTTGATTGCTCGAGTTCTATAGGAACAACTAGCTTGTTTTTATCAAGATTATCGTCGAGAAAAGTTATACATCCTCGTATAGAGTCTATTTCAGTGTTAAATTTATTGGAGGACGCGAGATGAAGAGCTTCCTCAGCTAACTCCTTTGTAAGTTGCAGACTTCCTTGGCGATAAAACTGATCCGGTCTTTTTGTCAAGAGCAGCGCTCTTGTGCCAACAGAGATGTCACCAAGATCATGCTGAATGAAATTAAGGAGTTCTTCAGCTTCTTTTATTTTACTTAGGAGCTTTTGCGTGGTTTCGCGCGGCAGTTTAAACTCAACCTAGAAGTAATGTTGCAAGACTGAGATGAATGTACGTCTCCCCTTTGACCTGAACCCTTACTCTATGATCTTTTTGGCTGTAAGAGATATGTTGCTCAAAATAGTATCTTCCATTTTCTTTGGCGGTTATACGTGCCGGCTCATTCCGCTGGTCATCCGGTGTAAGGCTCATACAATCCAGCCAAAGGCGACCGTATTTTTGGTAGAGTTCGGCCCAATCCTCTGGCGAGTCGTTGTTTTGAAACAAAAACTCGCTGCGTTCAAGGTATTCAAAGAGCCGAGGTTTTCTCTTTCTTATGTCAGCCACAAGTAAAAAGTAAGCTTTTTCCATCAGAATATTCGAATTAAGTACATGACACGTTTTGTTTTTGTCTGAATGTATAACTGAGGTAAACACACTCTTGCTCTTTTAGACTCTTTCCGATCCTCTATTTTTAAGGCCAACTGCAAGTCAGGTTTATTTCCATTGGCACAACGTTGAAGCAACGATGTGACTGAATGCTCGTGTTCGTTAAATTGTCCATTGACAGAAAAGTAGAGATGGTAAGTTTTGAGCTCGGTGAAAAATTAAGAAAGATGTTTTTTTGTCTTGTCACGAGCGTGGGACAAAGAAAAATTCTGAGTCCCCATGAGGAATCGAACCTCAGACCTTCGGATTTAGAGCACCGGAGCGCAACGACGCGGGAGCTTGAGACCATGAACGTCAAAGATTGGTGTGTGCTTTAGATCTTTCCTCAAAGACAATTGAGACTGAATTATCGGAACGAATCCCAGATAGCGAGCCTTTCATGTCGGTGCAAATTGTCTGTCCATGGTCTGTGCGCTCTTTTGCAATTTCTTTAGCGTTGCTATAACTGAACGCCAACGCTTTCAGGCGCATTTCTTGTTTGGTCGTCCATGTTTGTTCAAGAGTAATAATTCCTTGTCTTTAGCGTTGTATCGTTGGACTGGCGATTTTGAACCAGTGAAATTTAAGGTAAATGCGGATTACCTCCTACCAGAAGATAGAGATATTTCTCCGAAGACGTCGTATGCTCTGTTTCGGTGATGAAGTTTGTTTATGTTCTTCCTTGATAGCACTATAAAGATGTTCTGTTCCGGTTAATAAGAGCCAGAGTTTCTAGTAGCTTTAACCGTGAAAAAGGGTCTACGTCAAGAGAATCTCAAGAATTATTTAAAATAATGCCATGTTTTCGTTTTGTTAAGAAAAGGATGATACGTACATTGCCCTGCTTTTTTTTAACTTAGAGAGACGAATGACATGTTTATTTATGATACCAGTCATTCTGATGTTTTCTATAAACTTTAACCAATATGTTTACTATAAGGAAAAGTCTCTGGATATTTTAACCATAACCATGCATTACGTCAGTTATTGAGAAGCCCGCAGAGGGTAGCAACATAATTAAGAGAAATGGCAATCCCTAAGTCAAGATAATCATGTTTATCGGTATTTACATCATGCACGGCTAGCTGCAATGCTAACGAAGACTGAATTTTTTTTTTTGCCCCAGTATTTTAATTATTTCAATTAGTGGGTTTAATTCTGAGTTATATCTTTAAGCCAAACTTTAGCTTTCTCGGCTGTTTCTATGGTCGGATGGTATAATGGCTGACGATAAAGCCATAAATATACAAAAAGTGCTCATCTTTTTAGAAATATGCATGATGTTACTGTCATTGTTCACCTGACCCTGAGCACGATTGGTATTGAAATAGTAATTTCTCTGTCACACATTATAGACGA